TATTTTTATTTTTAAGATGACATCAGTATTTTTTATGGTCTCTTAAAAAGAGCAATTAATTGCTGCTGTCAATATCAGTGTCGCTAATAGCGTCTTATTTTGTATTCAACAGCATTAGGCGTACACAATAACAAACAATTTTTGCGCCGAATTTAAAATTTCGGAAAATAAACTCCAAGCAAAGTGGCTAGTGAGCTCAGAATAATTTAGATTTACATGCCGCATGACGAAGAGATGGAAAGCTTTGTCAAAACGCAGGCAAACACCAATAACGTGGTGTTTATGCGAAATCGCGACGCTACGTCCGGGGAAGCTTGGGCCAAAACCTTCAGGGAGAGTCTGTTTTTGTATCAATCAATTTAACTACATACAACACCTGGATTTTTATTTTAAGCGCGGAGATCCTTGACCTCACTCTGGTTTGCTCTGAGTCAGTAGATCGAACTGGACGGTTCAAAGTGATCATCATCGGTACACTCCATTTACCCTTTCATAATCTGGAAGAACTTGGTGCTTTCCGAAGCTCGCTGGTTGAGCTTGTCGAAGTTTACAGTTCTGCATCCAGAGATGCTCTTAAAAGCTCATGCCTGCCTTAATTCCGTTAGGCTAGGCGATTTCTCGAATGGAATTGTAAAGTGGTTGAGAAAGCTTTCATTTAAGATGGATCACTAATCAAAGGTAATTTGTATATGATTCTTGTACGCGTAGAACTACAACAGCTGAACAGTAATGATGTGCTGAAATGTGATAGAAATTACCGAAGCCGGTTGCAATGAGTTGGGGAGCCTGCCGTGATGCGCTCTGTCGTTGGCGATAGGTTTATTTCGAGTACAGCAGAACTTTTATGCATTTGACGTAAATAAAAGCAGAATAAGAAGATTATCAGATATTCACACAAGTAATTTTTAGCAAACAAAAACCGACTTAAAAAAATATATATATATCTATATATTTCATGATCCAATGATCGGTTCTAAACCAAATTAGTATGGGACCACCTCTGAGACACGTTGCAAAAAGAATTATTGAAATCGGTTGATGTGGTGCAAAGTTATGCGGTAACATACATAAAAAAAAAAAAAATATTCCGATGAACTGATAACCTCCTCCTTTTTTGGAAGTCGGTTAAAAATAGAAATACATAGATCGAATATGGCCACAGCCGTATTTTCAGCCAGTCGCGATGTAGTCCCGGCGCCGCCGAAATACCAGTACGTCTTAAAATAATTTGACATCTGTAGTTTCAGGTGTATCCTTTTCAATATTTTCCAAACTTAATGTCCTTTGATGTTTCCACTTCGATGACGCTGGCGCGGAGTATTTGTACTGACTTAAGTCAGTCGGAAGAGTTATCGAAAGGTTCGGTGTTTTTCTCAGGAACTCTCCATACATTTTTTATTTAATATTTTAGGAAGAGGTACCTACATATATAATATTAAAGCAGCAAACTGATGAGTTGCTAATAGTTACTTTAATATTTAAACGGTAATTAGAGCCTCTTGCTCCTCCTCAGTGCACCTAAAATTAGGTTTGGTTAGGTTGATGTGGTAGTCGGTTCAATGTCCAACTAACCTAGACCTTGCACCTCCATTATGCTACCACTGTGGAATATGGAAACCTCAGTGACTGTTCTGTATAGAACTATTTTGCAGCTCTTATGAAGCGTAGGATTGGTTTTATTCCTACACCGAATAGTTCCGTGAGAGAGCTGAAAAAGTCCCTACCTCTTAGCTAGGAGAGGCTACGCAGTTCTTAGGTTCTATCCTACCAATTTGCGGCCTTAATAGTCTATTTGTTGTATAGGTACCTTCGTATAACCATGACCTATTGGCCTCTTGAATGATGCAATTTCTAATCCTTAATTTGCAGGTTGCCAGTTGATTTGATGGCCGACTGGCTATCTGAAGGTAGTAATCTTAGTCTTCGTTACAAAAATATCTTCTACTTGTAAATACTTATCGTATATAGATGGATATCAGGAACTGTGACAAGAATATGCAAAGCGGATGAGTTAGATATGCAGGTAGGGTATATAACACAGAGTACTTTGAGTAGTGTGTGATATGGTTGAGCTTCCTTGGCTTCCGAACCCGCTACTATTGACTTTAGTTTGCGCTGTGAAACTAAACTAATATCATCCGTTTTTGTAAAGGCTAGTGGCTAAAAATCAATAAACTATATTCTTGTTATATCCTTGTTGTTTGTTTCGACTTATTTAATAATCTTTTTTTTTGCATAATTCATTTAAATATTACAACAACGTTAATAAAAGACAAGCAGCATAAGTGAGGGAAATGAAAATAATATGCGTAGAAAGGAAGGCACACTCTCTTTATGCTTCTACTTACATATTTTTCTTACTATACAAATAGTTAGCATTCTTCCTCTTCTTATTCTTCTTCTGTCTTGGGTATAATTAAAATAACACAAGTGCACTTGCAGATATGTTACGGTCATGCATGTTTAACATCGCGTGTGTCACACATGTGCCACAAATGCAGTTACTTTATTATCATAGATGGTGGATAAAGTTGCATTATACATCATGCTGTACATTTTAATTGAAATGCATTCAAAAAAAAAAATGCAATTCATTTACAAATACATGCCACAGCACTCTACTATATCTGCTGCATACTTCTTGCCTGTTTGCTTCTAAATGGAGTCAGAAATTTTTTGTTATATAATACAGACACTTGGCAATGAAAAGCATAGAAGCAGAAAAGCAGAGAATATTAACGAAAAAGAAATAGCAAAATGCTACCGGTTGCGAGTTTGTGACTTAAGTCTTTTGTTTGATTTGCCAGTTTGCAAGAAATGGTACATATCTGTATGCATACATGTATGTATGTATGTATGTCATATGTTCGCAGTTTACTTTTGAGTTGAGGCTCTAAATTTAACTGTGAAATTGTTCACTACTATAACAGTACCTACTTTTCTCGTTTCTCGACTACTAACTACGTAGCGGCCCGTGCTTGGGTTTAATTACGCTGACTAAGATCAAACTGCGCGCCTTTAAAGAAAAAGGCGAGAGAAGATGGTGATAAATGAATATGTATAAGAAGGAGCATAGAAATTTTATTTGTAAAATTCCAAACGTTTTGCTTTTTTTGGCCTGAGAATCAATCTCATAATTAGCTGGAATGCATACTAATGTAGTAAATACATACATATGTATGCCTATGACTGCTGAATTTCATAGTTCATTAGTAGCTTCGAAGCAAATACAAAAAAAAATATATGAGGTGTCTTTAAAATTCGGTCAGGGTATTTCCGGGATTTTAGATGCAAAGCTTGAAAAGTGTTGATTATCATCTGTATTTATGTACATATGTGCAAAAATATTTAGAATGAGTTGATCCCAAGGCGAAAGGCATTAATTTCTGTCGCCGAAAAACCTTTTGTATAAATTTTAAATGAAATTTTGTAGAAGCCTTTGTACTCAGAAATGAAGTTAACTATTCTTGTGAGAAGCAACTTGCGAAAATTTCTACGTCGTTATTGTATAAATAAGTGTTTACTTCATTAAGGTCGCTTATCATAGAGTGGGATTTAAGGCGTGTAACAAGCTACGGTTAACGTAAAAGTGGAAGAAAATCTGATATGCAATTGCAAACTTTACAGACGGTTCCTAATAGCACAACATCATATTTATGTGTGATGTTTTTCTAAAGATGAGTTCCGCATGATTGTGTATTGGGACACTAAAGCCCTAGCAGAAGGTTGACTAATCTGGATATGTGCGAAAATATTGCATCTAATTTGACCATCTCTTGACGAACCAAGAACATAAATAGGTCCCCGAAAACAAACATTCGGCTCTCCATAAAACACGAACGGGGCATATAACTTCCAACCATAGGGATGCAAAGTCTGTATATTTAATACGTAATCCTGATCGAATATTTCGCACTCGCATAAGTTTTCTTTAAATTTGCATATATGTATGTACAATAAAACCGGTTGCTTATCTTAAAAATGGTACGGCGCGTTCTATTAGGCGAACAAGCGTTATTAATCTCCAGTTGGGCTTACTAAAAAAAATTTAGTATCTTTCTTGGTTATTTACGGATTTTCCGGGACTTTTTCTTGGACATTTCGAAACTCCTTGGCGATTTTTCGGAAAACTTTGTTTTTTTTTGGGACAAACTTTTTGAAAGTTTTCCGAATATTTTGAATTTTTTTTTAAATAGTACAGTGAATATTATTACTTAGTCGAATTGGCGTTATTAAGTTAGTTTTCGAGATTTTTCATACACTATTTGGCTTATTTTAAAATTTTGAGGATTTTTCGGGCTTATATACAAATTTTTTTGGGACTGCTTTTTACTTTTCCAGATTGCTCGGAATTTTTGGCAATTTTTTAGGGACTTTTAGCAATGTTTTTTGAATAAATTTTTTCCGAATATTGTGGATTTTTTGTAGGATTTTCGCAACATTTTCATCACTTTTTAAAGTTATTAATTTTTTATATAAAGAATTTTTTTCGGAGCTTTTCGAGATATTTCATTAGCTTTTGAAATTCTTTTAAGGCTTTCGGGTTTTCTCTTGCGTAATTTCAATGGCTATTTTCGTAGCTTTTGGAAACCGTATTTATTTTTGCCGAGCCTTTCAAGATTCATAGAGGCTTTTTCGGCACTATTCGTTTTAAAATTTCCACAATTTTTTTCGGGACATTCTGGATCTTTCCGAAATCCTCTTATATATTTTCGGGACCTCTTGGATTATTTGTGTTTAATTTTTCCTGGACTTTTCGGAACTTTCCATGATTTTCTGAAATATTTTACGGGATTTGTGGGATCAGTCGTAATTTATTAACTGACTTCACAAAAAGGAGAGAGTTATGAATTCGTCAGAATTTTTTTAGTTTGTTTTATGTGTGTTACCGCATAACTTTGGACTACGTTAACCGATTTCTATAAATGAGAATTGAAGGCGGTCTTGGTCTTGGCTTAAAAATTACTTGTTTTCTTAAGAATTACTTGTGTTTATTATACTTATTCTGTCTGCAGGGTTCTTTGAATTTTCTCTTCGGTTTTTTTCCCCAATTTGTAGTGTTTAGGTAGATTTTCAGTACTTTTTGGTAGTATCCGTGTTAAATTTTCTGCGGAACTTTCGGAATTTTTGTGGGACTTTCGGGATCCTTGGTGATTTACTTATAGGAGTTTTCGGAATTTTCTCTAGATATTTTCCGTAATCCTCCGAGACTTTTTCAATAGGTTTCAATATTTATCGTAGTTAACATATTATTTTTAAGAACTGTATTGTTATTTTTAGCCTTTGTTATTTTGATGACAAATTTTTGTGGAGACAACAATAATTTCACAAATGTTAGAAGTTAAAGCTATTTAGGAGATCACTTCATATCCTCAGCCGAGTTCGTTGGGCAAATCCCATCAGATTCGACGTACAAAGACAGTGGTCTATCCACTGTGCTTAGTTCACCCCGTGTACACAAAATCTTTTTTCCTTACCCACATTTCTAATTTTTCATTTAAAAAGCAGCCGTAAGCTTAATAAAGTTGTTGATTAAAGATTTCTGACTTCAATAAAAAAATCATAATCAGCTTCGTCATGAGTTTCATCTTCCCCGAACCGGTTCACTTTTCACTTTTGGTTTCCGTGTATTTAACAGGAACAGGATGAACGTTTTTCGGGCGAAACTCAGGATAACGCTGAATAGGTATTTGAACAAACGAAATTTCAACTCAGAAAGATATAATTTTGTTTGTCACTTATGACCTTCACCACTACCAATTCTCTTGCAAAAGTCAAAACCCATACTTAACGTATTCCTTGTGGGACCTTAAATGTTCTTACATATTTCATCTTAACTATTGAATACCATACATACGTATTTAATTCAGATTCATGCTTTTCCTTCCAGTAAAATAAATTTTAAATCTCAGTTTCAAACAGTATAGATTTTAACTAATTAATCAAATACTGGTTTTTAGTCAATCGCTATGCATGCATACATCTTCAATGAATTTGCATGGGCAAATATTGAAAAAGGGTGAACAAATCTAATTTCTATTCAAATCCAAATTTTTATTACATTTTCAAGCGAAAGTGTTCTTCATCGGACTCTATTCGCTATTTCGCTCTACTAAACTTAATTTATTTTAGACGCATATGCACATAAATACATTAATATTTTATTTTATTTCAACGGTGATTTCGCTTTTTCGTGCCATATGCATGTGTGAGTGCTTAATGAATTCACAGCAAAAATGTTTCTAAAAAAAAACAAATAAAATGAAGCAAATGGGGAAACTTGTTCGCGAGAAATGCGAATAACTGAAATAAGCAAATATTCAACAACAGCAGCAGCAGCAACGCCAAAGTACGGCTAGGCACCAAACAGGCAGCAGGCCCACAAACAAGCGATTGGCGAACGAAATGGTCAAAGCAACCACGCAAATAGCGCTAATCAACAACATTCCAAAAATACATAGGTTTTTTTTTCTAACTATTTTCTGAGAGTGTTAGCACGCAAGTAGATAACTTAGGAGATATAAACACAAAAAAAAAAATAAAATACAAAAATCGACATGATTGCCACATAAATTAAGTGAAAGAAAAAAATAAATAAATTAATAAACATTTTTTAACCATTTTATCTATTTTTTGCGCAAAATCTTTTGCAGCGCCACAAAACAACAACCATCAATGAATTTTTGCGACAGAGTCAGCAATCAATCATTATTTTTTGGCAATTACAAAAGGAGCGAAACGTTAACGCTTTACGCGCCGAAAAATCCAACCAAAATTGGATATCGATCTGTGTTTGTATAAATGTTGTTTTGACGTTTTCAACGCCACCAACGCCAACGCAACCGACATTCGAAATTCCTTTTGCAAGTGGCATGGAAGGGAGTATGTAAGTTGTTTGCTGCCGCCGGTGATGATTGTATGTGGTTATGGACGTCCATATTTCTATACATACATACATATGTACGTATGTAGGTGTGTGTGTGTGGTTCTATGTATATACACTGGCGGCAGAAATAATAGACTCGCCGTACTTTTAAGAATTTTGGCTATATTTATTTCGTTTATTTTATGTTTAATATTTTTTTTTTATAAAAGGCTAGGTAGTTATGCAACAAAAATCATATAAATCCGCTTTTCGAACTTTGGACAAAAATTATAAAAATTCGACAAATTTTTACCAAATTTTTAAAATTTTTACTCAGAATTTTTTGGTATGCAGTTTTGTATATTAGTATATCAAAGTGCAAGTTTTAGCTAATTAAATTTTTTTACCCATAAAAACTGTGCTCGATAATTTTTTTATATGGAACAGAATGCCTAGCATCGTCAACAAAAAAAAAAAATGTCAAAAATCAACGGTATTTTGTAGCCACTTGAAACTTGCACTTTATTATACTAAAGTTGAATGGGCTACAAAACTGTTTACCAAATTCTACAAATTCTGAATAAAATGTTTAAAAATTTGGCGAAATTTTTCAAATTTTTGTATAAAGTTTGAAAAGGGGATTTATATGGTGTTTGTTGTATAGCTAGGCAGGCTTTTATAAAAAATATTAAACATAAAATAAACCATGGATTAATGGCCAAAACTCTTCTTCTGCCGCCAGTGTACATATGTATGTGTATATATGTGTGTTAGCATTCGTATAGGTGTAACTATATATTTATTTATGTGTATGCATTTTGTGTGGGCTGCGTTATTGGCGCATTTCGTGGACTTTTGCACCCGATGGCTTGTGGGCAGGTTTATTCAGAAATTAAATTGACGCTTTTTGGCAACCACTGACACAACACCGATGAATATTGAATGAAAAAATAAATAAATAAAAGTAAAAATAAAAAATAAGATTAAAAATATTGTATTGAACTGCCAACTTGTATCGACCCACCTACGCCGATACGGAACAAGTTTAGTTGAAATATAAGTTTGATTACTATATGAAATAGAGGGCAGAGACCGATGAAGTGGAATTCAAACATTGGTGGTTTGCAAATGAATCTAATGCGTAAGATTGTATAAAAATTTATATAATTTACATTAAACGTTGATCCGGAGAGTAAATGTAGATTCGATAGACAAAAAAAATTATTTCTTTTTCTTCTATAATTTTACCTATTCAAACTTGTGGAGATTCCAGCTAAGAACCAAATGAAGCCGAGTAGCTAATATATATATTTCTTAACAGTATTAAGGTATTATAAATTTAAATGTACCTACTGCTGACTTTAGTACATGCTCTAATAAGATTCAGACACTTAGTAAGCGAAGAGATTATGCCAGTTTCCAATGAGTGACTAGTAATATTTGGAATTTAAAATAATACATAGTTATTTTCGAAATTTCAATTCAAAAAGTCAGTCGGTAAGAATTCGTACATATCGATGGTCCTCTACAATAACAACACAACTCAAAATTGTATATTTTTCAGTAGAGCTAATTAAAGATTTTACGTTTCATAACTTCACAATACTGTGTCTTGGAACCTAATTATTGTGGATTATTTGAAGTTATTCTGTAGCGAGTCTTTGCAAACTTTCACATTATGACTGCTTTATAATGATTTAGTATGGATTACTTTGAAGAATATGAAATAAGTAACTATTATTAAGTAGTTAAACGAAAATAAGTCTACTGGTAATACGAAAAATGTCGTTATCCTTACTTTCTTACTGATGTTATAAATGCGAAGGTGAGTTGGTGTGTTTGTAACGCTTTCGGACCTTAACCGCTAAACCGATCATCATGAAATTTTGCACACGGGTGGCACCTCATATACAAACGGAAGTTTTCATACGGCATATCTAGGAAGTTTTATAGTAGAGTAATGGAACTTGGAGGATGGTTCCGTGCGCTGAAGTGGACAGATTTTGACTGCCATTCAACATTCAACCAGAAGTGATTGGCGTCTGTTAGCACAGAAGAGAAACTGTTTTGGACTCGGTCACAATCGCTAAGGCGGTTACAGCGCCAACAAAGAAGAAGAAGATTTTTTTCAATCAAAAATAACAGTTAAATAAATATATATTTTTCGATCAAAAAATCAGGGACGTGAACCGGAAGAAAAATTTGGCCGGTTCGGTTCAGCGAACCGTTGTTGCACTTTTGGATTGTTCCGTCAAAGCGGTTTTTTGGTCTTTGAACCGGGGTTTCGGTTCGGTTCAGCGATTCGAAAAAAAAAACGCGCAAATTTAAGGGTCAAGTGAGATGGGCTGCCTTTACATTTGATATTGGCACATGGTATAAAAACATGGTAGGTATTATGAAAAAAGGTGGGGGGTGGGGGGGGGGGGGGTTAAAAGAAAAAAAAGTGGGTACATTTATCTATTGAAAATTGGTTGAAACGAACCTTTAAACCTTTAAAGAAAGTGGTTCGGTTTTCGGTTCAGATCAAACATTTGTGGAAAATTTCGGTTCGGTTAATGGTTCAGTTAGTTAATAGAAAAACGCGGTTTTCCGATTCAAAACCGGTTTGGTTCAAAACCGGTTCACGTCCCTGCAAAAAATAAAAGTTAAAATTTGCCTTCAATCTTTTCGGGCAAATATAAAAGTTAAAATTTTACTTTTACTTTTCCGGTCAAAAATAGCAGTTTGCGTATTCACAATACAATATGTTTTGATTGAAACAAAAAAATAAAAATCAATGTTAAAAATGAATTTTCCATCTTCAGTAAATGTGTTTAGTAGATAAAAAATTAAAATAGTTAGTTTCCTGTTCGGCATTATGGTTTGTGTGTTTGAAATACGAAAATGACAATTTAATCGTTGTCTGAAGCCAACTTCTAAACCTGTGAAAATGAGATTTTGCAACCGCTCAACGTTGCCGCCGCGGTATGCTTCATCCAAACTCTATGGGCATGAGAAATTTTTGACATATAGACAGTATCGATGCTTTTATTTAGGTAAGTTTTTAATATAAACTGATATAATGAATTGCAATAACATTCAAATTTTAACTTTTATTTTTGATCCGCAAAATAGAGGTTAAATATTCCTTTATTCAACAATTTTTGTTGAGCTCGAGGCCGTTATTTAATAAAGTTTTTTTGTCACCGATGGAAAAAAAGACATATTTTTACTTTTATATTCGTCTATTTTTGTCCGAACAGTCAAATTTTAACACTTGATCAAATTTTTTTTTATATGAAAAAAGTTGCAACATCATCCACAAAAAAATTCAAAAAAATCAATAGTAATTTTTAACGACTTGAAACTTGCAATGTCTTATACTAGAATTGAGTGGGATAGAAAACTGCATAACCAAAACTTTTCTAAATATTCTAATAAAAAATTTTGAAATTTTGATGACTATTTTTTGAAGTTTGACTATTTTTTTTTGCAATTTTTGCAAGATTTTAAACTTTTATTATTGTAGTTTCTGTTATTGA